CCAGCTGTGCCAGCTCAGGCCGTGCCCGCTCGGTGCCCGCGCCGGGCGAAGCTGAAGCTCCTCAGGGGATTCCCGGAGCCGCGCGGCTGCAGGAAGGGGGGTCGGGGGAATTTGGGGAATTTGGGGAATTTGGGGAATTTTGGGGAATTTTGGGGTGAATTGGGGGAATTTTGGGGCATTTTTGGGGAGGTTTGAGCTGATTTTTGGGGGGATTTTGGGGTTCAGGGGAGATTTTGGGGGATTGTTTTGGGAGATTTTTGGGGGATTCTGGGGATGTTTGGGGGGGTTTGGGGTTCAGGGTGAATTTGGGGTTTGGAGGGGATTTTGGGGGATTATTTTGGGATTTTTTGGGAGGATTTGGGGGATTTTGAGGATGATATTTGGGGTTCAGGGGGATTTGGGGATTTTTTGGGGGATTATTTTGGGATTTTTTGGGATCTTGGGGATGTTTGGGATTTTTGGGGTTCAGGGGGATTTGGGGATTTTTGGGGGATTATCTGGGGATTTTTGGGGGGATTATTATGGGGTTTTTTTGGGATTTTGGGGATGTTTGGGGGTTTTGTGGTTCAGGGGAGATTTTGGGCGATTGTTTTGGGATTTTTTTGGGGATTTTTGGGGATTTTCGGGGGATTTTTTGGGGGTTTTTTTTGGGATTTTTTTGGGGGTTTTTTTGGGGGGTTTTTGGGGGATTTTGGGGTCCCTCACCTTCCTGCTGCCCCGTTTGGCCGCGGCCCCTCGGGGGTTTTTTCTCTTTTTGGGGTTGGGGTCGGCGACGCCGCGGAGGCTGGGGGGCACTGGGGGCACAGAGACCGGGCACTGCCCCTTCTGTGCCCACTGCCCCCTTTTTTTGCCCCTTCTGTGCCCATTTCCCCCATTTTTTGCCCATTCTGTGCCCATTTCCCCCTTTTTTTGCCCCTTCTGTGCCCATTTCCCCCATTTTTTGCCCATTCTGTGCCCATTTTCCCCATTTTTTGCCCATTCTGTGCCCATTTTCCCCATTTTTTGCTCATTTTGTACCCATTTCCCCCCCTCTTTTCCCGTTTCTTCCCCATTTTTCCCAAAATTCATATTTTCCCCCCATTTATTCCCATTTTCCCCATTTTTCCTCCCACTTTTCCCATTTTTTCCGAAAATTCAGATTTTCCCCCATTTTTTTCCATCTGTGCCCATTTCTCCCATTTTTTCCTTATTTTTCCCATTTCTCCCCCACTTTTCCCATTTTT